CATCCTTCCACTTCGAATCTGACATCTGAGACGCAACATGGATTTATGCGCAATCGCTCTACTATTTCCTACTTCTTCTACTGAAATGACCCAGGAAATTGCAGAGGTCTTAGACAATAGGGGTCAGATGGATGTGGTCTATATAGATTTCTCAAAGGCCTTCGATAAGATTAGTTACCAAAGAATCATAGGTAAACTTCAGCATTTTGGTTTTAGCATATCATTTATTAGATTTCATTTCTTCTTACTTGCATGATAGAAAAAGTGCGATTCTTACAATGGTTTCAAATATTCACCTTACTCGGCCTCATCCGGTGTACCGCAGGGATCAAATTTAGGCCCTCTTCTCTTTCTTTGTTTTATCAATGACCTCCCTAACTACTTCACCTGTCCTTCTCTGTTGTTTGCCGATGATTTGAAAATATATGCTCAGATTAACAGCATTGATGACTGTCTAATCTTGCAAGATGACCTGAATCATATATTTTAATGGTAAATAAATGATCTTTTACCAGCAAAACGAATCCAATAGTTCTTGGTTACACACTGGAAGGTGTCAGTTTGATGCGTTGTTGAAAAATAAGAGATCTAGGTATGTTGTTTGATATCAAATCAGAATTTACAGGTCATATTAGTACAATAGTTTCATCCGCTATAAAATGTCTCGGTTTCTTGATAAGAAACTGTAAATCGTTTGGTAGTGAAACTGCACTGAAGGCTTTATACTGCACCTTGCTGCGTTCTAAGCTGGAATATGCATCTAGTGTATGGCATTCGTACTACCAAATCTATACTAATGAAATTGAAAGTGTACAGAGCAGATTTCTTAAATAATTGACTTTGAAATTAGATGGTGTTTATCCCAATCGTGGGACTCACCAATCAGCGATGTTGCTCAGATTTCAAATGTATCCTCTTGAGCTGAGAAGAGTTTGTAATAGTTAAAATTCCTTTACAAACTCGTACACAGTGATTCTTCAGCTGTATTAGCTAAAATTGATTCTCATGTACCGTCCCGCATTTCCCGAAGATTTCTCGCTTTTTACTTAAAGACAACAAATTCTAATGTTTTAATGTATACTAAGTAACATATAAATCCGAACACACAGTTTAAATGGTTTTATTTTAATAAAATTTTGTATAAGTACTTAATGAAGCATAATAAGTAAATGATAAAAATTTCAAAATGATTGCACTGCTTTAAAGCCCTTTGACCTTTAATAATGTGTGGATGCACCCTGATGTGCTACGCATTCTCCAACGCGCCTAGGCATGCTTCTGATCAGGTGGTCAATGTCCTCCTGTGGTATCTCATTCCAGGCAACCACCAACTCCTCTCGAAGTGCTTCTAGAGTCTGAGGAGGACGTTGCAAATTGAGCAATCCCCTACCCATCATATCCCACACGTGCTCAATTGGGGATAAGTCGGGAGATCTTGGTGGCCATGGTAACAATGTGACATCATTATGTTGAAAGAAGTCTATTGTGACTCTTGCAACATGTGGTCGGGCATTATCTTGTTGGAAAGTTGGATCTGCCAGGGTGTCAAAATAGGGTAAAAGATGGGGTTCTAGAACTTCGTGGATATAACTCTGCGCGTTCATGTTACCTCTGATGAAGATTAAAGGTGACCTGGAACCATAAGCTATAGCACCCCAAACCATAACTCCAACAGTGTGATGAACATGTCGTTCAACAAAAAACTGTGGATTCCTCCTTTCACCACGTCGCCTTCTAACCCTGGCACGACCATCGTGCATGCCTAAACAAAATCGAGACTCGTCACTAAAGACAATACTGTTCCATTCCTGATCCCAGAGTGACCGTTGTCTGCACCACTCAAGGCGATTACGTCGGTGTTCTCGAGTTAAAGGGAGGACCCAGTGTGGCCGGTATGAAACCTGGTAGTGGAGAAACTGTCCCTTAAGGCCAATAATCTTAGGCGGCGATCTTCACGGTCTGTTGTTCTACGGCGGCGTCCAGTGCCCCTTGCTCTTTGCGTACGGCCTTCTCGAAGCCATGCCTGACAACACCTAACCACAGTGTCTACACTTCTTTGCACTCTAACTGCAATGGCCCGAAAAGAAAGTCCAGCTTCCCACTCTACGGCGCCTATCAAACTCACTAAGTTGACGAAATCGTACTGGTCTCCGTACTCTAGGCATCGTAACCGATCGTAAAGGATGTCAAGAACCAAAATCCGCCAACGTTGATTCTTTACTGCGGCTGAAATATTCGTTTTTAGAGCGTTAGTGAATTAAAAAAAAGCAGTATAAAAACCGGATACTGATAAGGCTGAACATTTTTTCACTTGTTATTTACAGTAAGATAAATATATTCACCAACTTTTATTAAAATAAAACCATTTAAACTGGGTGTTCGGATTTATATGTCACTTAGTATATATTCATCATGATAAAGTCAACGATATATTAGCTGTATTCACCGACTACTTTTATTCAATTTATAGCATTTAAGACATGTAGGTGAGTAAGTGTTGCTATTCATTTTTTTCTTCCATTTTTTTTTTCAGAATCTGGGCGTGCTATGGTTGTAGTTATAAATACTGTAATGTCAAATTGCATTCAATTACATTGTCCTTTAAATGGATGTATCTGTTGGGCAATAAATATATTATTATTATTAAATCGACCCACAAACTATCCAAAATGTGCTTCTAAATTGGGTTAAGAGGATGGACTACTGCCAGGCCAGCCGCGGCAGCCATTTAACTGTAAATTGTTTTTCATAAATAATCGGAAGGTGTATTCTTTTGAATAAAGTATCGAGTGTTACAAATTATTGAAGAGTGCATTTTTAATGCCAATTTAAAAAGGAAACCAACAGATGGCCCACCCTTTATAGTGAGCATACTGCTTGCTCTTCAAACTCCTTTGCAACCTTCCTGGAAACTCCTTTTTCCATCCTTGTTTACAAGATGTGAACATTTTCTGTTTTAGCCCTGAACTAGAAACCTTATCACCACAGACAGCATTGACAAACTTCTCCGTGATCCGCGATGCCATCTTACAGTTTTCCAAGGTGCATGCAACGGATGACGCAGGTTCTGTGCGAATAGTAGAACTGCCACTGACCTAATTTAATTTGTGTCTCCGATAACTTATTCCAGCGATCTATTAGATCTTAATTAGATAAATTGGCAGCTGCAGCTACCAGATATTCCTTGCAGCTGAAGCTGGAGGCGCTCTTGAGACGCGCCGTGACTTGGAGCGCAATCATTGAAGAATTACCGACAGTAGAGATTAACGCTACGCTGCCGTTAGGTGAGCCTCTGCGATCTGTATCGGATGATCGAGATTAGATGGTAAAGGAACACGCTTCAGGAATTGGTACGCTAATGGCAAGTTCAGGTAATTTGATTTGTGCAGACAAGCGTTTGATGTATAGTATGAATATTTTAGGCAAAATGAGAATTTGTGAGAATCTTGTAAGGCATGCTGGCTCTGTGTTTCAAATTCGGGATCTCGGAAACGGTAAGAGATACAAAGTCACTCAAATGAGGGCAAAGTTACGTATTTATGTAACGGGTGCGCCATCTTTTATGTCGGTATTGCAACATCGAATGACTTTGATATTTTCCAACCGAGTGATTTCATTATACGTGTTGCTGAAACGTCAATTTACTACAGTTTTAGTCATGAGTCGCTTTACACCGAAACAACGCGCCGAGATAGTCACAACGTACATTGAAAATCGTCGTTCAGCTGTTAACGCAACGTGCATATCGTCGAAAATATCGTCTGACAACACTATCCGTGGTTTGGTTTCGAATTTTTTTGAGTAAGGCACAGTGGGAGATCATCAACATACCGTCCATCAACGACCAAGACGTTCCAGTGAATTGGTTGAAACGGTCAGAGACAGCGTTGCTCAGAACCCAAAAGTGTCGTATCGTCACCGCGTTCAGCATTTTGGCATTTGTGGAACTATGTTGGGGCGCATTTTGATGGATGATTTGCATTTGTTACCTTATAAGGTGCAGTTAACACAAAAAGGTATTGCCAACTGACCGTTCATGTCGCCTGGAATACGCTCAAACAGTCGCTGGCATGATTGATGCTGAATCTGATTTTTGGAAGCAAATTGTGATGACCGACGGGGCCCATTTCACGCTCTCTGGCGGCGTTAATAAACATAACTGCCGCATTTTGGAGACGGAAAATCCACATGAAATCCACGAAATGCCGTTGCATGACCGGAAAGTGACTGTTTGGACGGGCGTTTGCGCCAAAACCATCATTTTGCCATTTTTCTTTAACGAAAACGAAGCTGTCGATGGAAATCGATACCGGTAGATGTTAGCCCACAAATGCGTGAAAAAGGTCTTGACGGTTACTGGTTTCAATAAGGCGGTGCGCCATGCCACACCGGACTCCTTCTTGTAGGGTTATTTGAAAGGTCAAGCGTACGTCAGCAAGCCCCAGACGACTGAAGAACTCGAGGCAATCGTCGCTATACCATCAGAGATGCTCGAAAAAGTAATGGAAGACGCAGCAAAACAAGCACATTTTGTTTTGGCGATAGACATTGTGTTCAAAAACTAGTTCCAATAAATTGTAAAGGACCTTATTTGATAAAAATATCGGATATATAGAAATCAGTTTTTTGTTTCCAAAGTTATTCCATGTTTACATACCGACATAAAAGATGGTGCACCATGTATATAACAAGATGATGCTCAGAAAGTTTAGAAATTCAGGGGGGTTCCGAAGAGATGGAAAAATCGATTTTTATCAAAACCGTTTTAATTTTTTACTGACTTTATTTGTAATGGGACTTCAAAGTTAATTGTACGCTCATGTTGCCACTTTTTCTTCTCCACAAGATGGCATTATTAGAATTTCAGTATGACGTTTCGTCTTTTGTCCTCCAGCATAAACTTAAACTACATGTTCTTTTGATTTAATTATTGTCTTTGCATCTTCGTAATTTGAAACTTCCTTCCGGAGAAAGTCGCTATGATCTATCATTTGCTTTACAACTGTATTTGATAATGTAGTTTGAGTATGTTCTGTGTTGAGTGTCTCCTTCTGGGGTTGTCCGCCAGTAGGACTAGATACTGTGATACTTTCTGTCTTCAGTATTGCTGCTCCTTCCTTTACGCCTATGATTCCTTCTCTTAACCTGTGGATCTCAATTTCCTTCAGAGAGTCTACGCGCCTTGGTGTCAAACCCATAAAGTCTCCATAGGTTACGTCTCTTTTCTTTTCTCTATTATCTTCGCTTTTCCCAGGGACTAGATGTTCCGTTCTCTTCATATGGCCTGATTGAGGCTCTTGCACGTCCTCCTTGAAAGCGACTTTGTTTTTATCATAATCTCCCTTATCTGTACCTCCTCCCTTCTTTATCGATCCAGAAAGAACTCCTTCCTCTCCCTGCCTCTTTGTATCATATGATCCTTCACTTGTAACTCTGGATGAACATCGTGGATCTTATGAATCTCGACTTTCAAAAATGTGTCAGTATCCTCCTTTATCTTTGCACTCTCCTCTGTTTACTCTTTCGATACTGTTGGTTTGTGATATTTCTTTTTGAAAATGCGTGACAGTCCACGATCGCCCTCATCCTTTTTAGCAGGTTTGTACGAATCCATTTGACCTACTCAACGGTTGTCTCCTTTAAATGAACCTTTCTGACTCGGTGAGGCTCTCCAGCTTCGGTTTCTATTATAACATCAGTTTCTTTTTTGTCTGCAAATTTGGATATGGGTTGGGATCGCTCCTTTTATCACTTCTATGTCTTTGGTACCTACAACTTCTGTTTTATATGTTTTGTCTTAAGGAGTTGGATTCACGTCATCGTACTTTTATACCTCACCCTGGATAAATTCATCGGATTTAGCCTTATTTTTCGCAGTTTGCTTGTCATCGAGAGTTTTCTCCTCAATTTCCCTATCGTCAGATGCTGTCTTTTTGAGAATACCAAAGATTGCAGCTGTTGTATCCTATTTCTTTTCTTTTTTGGGGATGCCTTCTTCGGTTTCTCAGTTGTAATTTTAACCAACTCTTTGACTGGAGATTCTGAAGCCTTTCGGCCTTGAACGCTTCTCAACCTCCTTTTCTTTAGCTTCATCTATATGTTTGCCTCTGATTTAACTTTTTTCTTATCGATGCCATATTGGATTTTTACTCATTTGAATATACAAGTTCTGTCTCAAAGTAAACAGGACAAAGAAAAAATGAACCAAACTTTTTTGTTAAGAAAAATCGAATTAATTTTATTCAAAATAGTTTACCTCAATACAGCGACCAACAGATTTTCGAATGATGATTTTAGCTCATTGACCGGGATGTCCTTCAAAATAGTCGTCGACGCTCTTTGGATGGGTTCTACGTCAGCATACCGCTACCCTTTCATGACCAAATGTATGGGGTTGTCCAAAACGGACACAGGAAAGTAAACGCATATTAAAACAAGAAAGATTGATATTCAAATCAAGTTGTGTACTTTATTTTGAAGGTTCATTTATACCATTTATGTATGAAAAATAATATCGCTCAAATGTTCACCACGTCTGGACTTACAGACGTCCACGCGATGGTCAAAATTTTCAATGACATTTTGCAACAAGGTCGGTTCTATGGCATTTATCTCGACAATGAAGTTGTTTTCGAGTTCTTGGAGGGTGGTTTGTTGACGTGGACTTTGCTTTTCAAATATGCCCATAAAAAGAAGTCCAAGGGAGTCAAATAGCACGATCTTGGTGACCATGGCACATTTCCTCTGCGCGAAATCACGCGATCACCGAAGAAGGACTGCAATCGATGGATATTGACGTTGGTTGTGTGGCATGTTGCACCGTCTTGTTGGAAATAAACATCGTCCATATCCATTCCTTCAAGTTGCGGCAAAAAATAGTCCTCTATCATCACGTGATATCGCTCAGAATTGACGGTAACGGCGTCCCCGGCCGCATTTTCGGAAAGGTAAAGTCCGATGATGCCTTTTGACTACAATGCACACCACACAGTCACTTTTTGAGGATGCATCGGCTGCTCTTGATACTCACGGGGATTTTCGTTTGCCCAGATGCGGCAGTTTTGCTTGTTTGCCGTCCCATTCAAAGTGAAATGCGCTTCGTCGCTGAACATGATTTTTGATGAAAAATTGGCATCAATTTGGCGGTGTTCAAGGAGCCAATCTGAGAAGGTTCGGCGCGAAAAATGGTCGGCCCAACGCAGCTCTTGCGTCAATTTCATCTTGTAGGCGTGTACATTCAAATCCTTGTGGAGAATGCGGAGCAAACTGGTTCTCGAAATGCCCAATTCTTGGGATCGACGCGTTGTCGATTGTTTCGGATCGTCTCTCACACTCTCCTCCACAACAGCAATACTTTCCGGTGTGCGAACGCTCCTTGGCCGGCCAGAGCCTGGCAGATTTGCCACAGAACCTGTTGCCTCGAATTTACGCACCAGACGACCGATGGTTGTTTCGTTTGGGCGGTTGTTGCGACGGAAATGTTCACGAAGCGCGCGAAACGTGTTTTTTACTTTTGCACCATTTTTGTAGTGCTCTTGAATAACTTTAATGCGGTCTTCAATCGAATACGACTCCATAGCGATCAATGGTAAACATTCAGCTAACAAAATGACATGTCGGTGACAGAAAACAAAGATGGCGTCTATGTCAAATTGACGTTTACTTTCCTGCGTCCCTATTGGACAACCCTATAGTTTTGCGAACAGAAAATAGCCTCACGGTGCCATATCAGGAGAATATGGGGAGGGGTTGATGATTATAGTGCTGTTTTTTGTCAGAAAACAAACCGGACACAAGCGTCGATCGATGATGGTGCATTACCGTGCAACAAGCACCAACCAGCAAACGCCTCACAACACCAAGATAAAATACACCATTAAACGTTTTGGGCCCGGTGGAGAGAAATCTTTGGTAATAATTCTCTTCGCAGAAACAAATCAACATTGTCTTCACTTTGGACTTTCCCAAACAGCGTTTTTTTGGATTTGGGTCACTTGAGTGCTTCCATTTGGTACTTTGATGTTTGGTTTCGGGATCGTATTGGAAACACCACGTCAGAAAGTTTGTGCGGTACAAACCGTGAACACACATTTCTAATGCCAAATTCTTGGTCAAAATTCGATGGATTGAATTTCTAGAGATATATAATTCCATTTCTACGTATCTCAATGAAGATTTAAGATCATTTTTGATGAAATCGAGCAGTCTTTTGACGGTTTCTGGCGTAAGTAAACATGTTCGTCCTCTTCCAGCGACCCACGACCCTCTTTGAACCGTGTAAACCACTCGTGGACGCGGTCACGAAAAAATCAATCATGACCATACACTTGCGTCAATACCCGATGCGTTTAATCAAATGATTTACCAAGTTTAACGCAGAGCTTAATATTGGCTCCTTGTTTGATGCTCATATTTCGACCGATGCGAAAAAGGTACTGTCTGAGCACGATAACTCCGCGTAAAGTGGTTCTATTGTCATGAAATTTTGATAGAGTATTAACGAAAGATGCACCTATCCAACGCAAGTCTCCGATAACAGATGGCGCTACTTGTACCGGATATTTTTCAAGAGTCCTGTTTACTTTACAACAGACGTTATAGTTCATCATTTTGATTTCAAAAAGGTACAGAATTTCCTAGATAGGCCTTGAAATTATCAGATAATCATTTGCTTCGTAGTAGAGCAGAGTATACATAGGGTGCAGCTTCGCAAAAGGTCACAGGACTACTGGGTGATTCTGTACCTATACGCCTCAGAACTGGATGAACTTCACAGAACCCAAACAAAGAATTGTGCTAACAAAAAGGTCATATATATTAGGGAGACCCTATAGTATACCGTGTAATCCCCTGATTTTTTGCAAACCTATACCCTGGATATGTACTTATTGGGCCCTCTACAACATATAGTAATGGACAAAAGTATATAGACAAATTAATATTGTGCTGTATTTCTTTTTTAACTTGTTTTATTAATACACCAACTTGTACACATAATTCGTTATGGCATAATACTCACTTATACATTCATCAGACTCCCTTCAATAAAAAATTAATTGAAAAAAACTGGAACTATGGAAAACAAAAATATATAGACAAAGCAAAACAATTATAGAAAAAAAAGCAGCAAAGTTCATTGAATTATAGAAAACCAACCATGTTTGTGTTAATATTTTGTAGCATAGCCATTAGTATCAATCACCGCCTGGCATAGATTGTAGAAGTTTATTGATATAAAATTCATCAATCTGTCTCCACTTTTGCTCTAAAGCGGCAAAAAGTCCATCCTTGGTTGAATGATTTTTATCTCGTATTTGCTTATCAAGATTATAGATATGTAGATTTTCAATGGGATTTATATCGTGAGACTGTGAAGGCCATTTGAGAACTGGTATTTTTTTATCCAGAAATAATTCCATTGCGAGAGTTGAAGTGCGCTTCGGGTCGTTATCTTGCTGGGGAATATTGATCTTAAGGGCATATTGTTCCATATAGGGTGTAACGCTTCCTTTCCGCAAAAAGTCCAGAAAAGATGGAATGCAATGAAGATTCCAACTTTTCTGCACAATCACAGAAAGGGGGTTACCATTAGCTTCCGGTAGCTCAGTCGGTGGCATGAAGACATCTACAGGCGTGTAGCTGTGTGTCGACCATGGCATGGCTAGAGGATAGAAGAACAAACAGAACACAAAAATTTAACAGATTTTATTTAACAAAAAAAAGGCATTTTCATTACATTACAATTTTACAAAAATAACAAAATAAGTTTTACATCTTTGGCGCTGCTATAACGCTATCGACTTATCTTTCGCTGGTCCATTTTTACTCGACTGAAGCCAGGATGGCCAGGGGCTTGAAGGGGAGGTCCCAGTTATGAGGGGTGACCTCCATATAGTGGCTTCACAACCAGTTGTAGGCGAAGTTAAAGGCGATGGCGCTGCCAAGGTACATGCATGGGTGAAAATATTGGCCAAGGCTAGGCAAAGTGAAAGGGAAAGAGAAAGGGGGTGGCCCCAATCATTTTTGTCCTATACGGACACACATTCTAGAAAATTCTAGCACATGGTGCTATATAACCTTGTGCTACAAAGAAGAAATTTCTAGCCGTTGTTCGATCGGCGGCTCAAGTGAAAAGGAAGCGCGAGGAAGATCGCAGATCAGGAACTCCGCATCAAGCGCTCCAAGCGGAAAATTGTCCAAGCAAAAAAGCTAGAGATGGGATTAATGAAATGATAATCGAGAAGTGATTTAATAAATACGATCGGACGGTGAAACCGTTACAAGGGTAACATGGCATGCTTTAGTGTGTCTGTGTATACAAACTTATCCATAATGCCATCTATTCTATGTGAAGGTCTCACCAAAAACCCCGAAAAGCACCCCCAAACCACAACAGTTTGACATGTTTGACAGTGAACTTGGGGTTCAATCTT